GGGCCCCCGCCGCCGCTTCGTGCTGCCATCCAGCGCTTAGCGGGGAGGCAGCTTGGAGCTGGGCTTCGGCGTGGATACGTGGCTCCCTGTTAAAGCGAGGGCCTTTGGGGAAGGCGGCGTTTCGGGGTCTCCCTGTTCTCACGGCAGCCCCGTGTCTGCAGGATCCTCTGACCACGGTCCGTGAGCACTGCGAGCAGACGGAGAAATGCGTGAAGGTGTGGGAGCGGCTGGAGCTGTGCGACGCGCGGGTGTCCTCCAGGTCCCAGACAGAAGAGCAATGCACAGAGGAGCTTTTTGACTTCCTGCACGCCAGGGACCACTGCGTAAGTGCAGCACCCGTGGGTGCAACGTCCCTGCTGGTGCTGGGAGCAGAGCTGCCTTTAGCCACGCTTCTGAGAGTGCAGGCGATTCAAGTGTGAGACGTGGTAGCTGTTCAGTCACAGTAAGCTCTGAAGAACTGTGAGCCTCGGTGCTTTTTCTTGTTAAATGTTTGATTCCTCTTTGTTACAACAGTTCCAGCTGGGATTCAGTAGGTTATTAAACAATTCAATAAGTCAAACGCATTGTTTCTGCCCTGCAAATGACACTTTGCTATTTCAGGGTTGTATTTGCCATTTTAAAGTTAAACCTTTTTAACCTGAGGTGAAACTTTGTAAGAAATCTCAGCTTGTTACTTTTGCTGGGTGACTTGTTGCAAAACAGTGAGAAGAGCGGAGGGCTGTGGGGCCCTGTGCGTTGGTGGCCCAGAAAACCAAGAGGCGGGCGGTAACACCCTGCTGATTTCCAGCCCTGAACTGTGAGTTACCGAATGCTTTGTCTCTTTCCAGGTTGCTCACAAGCTCTTTAAGAACCTGAAGTGAAGGCAGGCGTGACTGTCCATCTGCTTCCACAGCCCGTGTCGGCAGTTCCTGGATTCACGGTACTGCTTCCCGCCTGTTCATTCCCATGCCAAGTACAAACGAAACGGCTTCCTGGCAGCGGCTGAGCGTCAGCGTGTCACTGCGTCTGTTCTCGTGGAAGATGCGCAGCTACGCAAAAACCATGTTGATGTTCTGTAATTTTCCATATTAAACGTTCAGAGTTCCCATGGAAATAGCCCCCGTTTATTTCCTAGTTCTTGTGCTTCTGACTTGTACGGGGTTAAAATGAAATTAGTGGGGGTCAGAGCCCGGGTTGTGGGGGGGAGACGTTTCCTCACTTGTGGGAATGTCCTTTTTGGGCAGCCATGATGCGCAGCGGCCGGAGCGCGAACCCACAGGTAAGATGTTTATCTGTTGGAACCACAGAGGTGTTTCCAAGCACCGCAAGATCAATATTGTTCACACAGTAAGTTCTGACTAAGTTAAACTAAAGGGAGTGACCCTTTTCTAGGAGAGAAGTTTCTCCCCTTTGGGGGAAAACTGTCAGTTGTCTGTCAGCTACTGTCACCTACTGCTGCCAGCGGCTGGAAGAGCCTCCCGGCCGCGGTTGGCTTCGCGTTCTTGCCCAGAGAGACTGACCATATGGCTGCAGACGGGCACGGTGGTGGTTCCACCTGCCCAAACCCCGAGCAGAGCATGAACGGTCACCGGGGGGAGCTCAAGCCTTGCTGTGTGGGTCACCAGCCCCTTCTGCTGACCTGGGGGCTGTCCTGCGGAAGGGTCAAGTTCACGCTCTGCCTGTTTTTCTTCCGAGTAGGATGTTTAGTAGCAGGAAAATGGATGTTTCACAGGGCAGCAAATCCTTTCTCAGCTATTCTTCAAGGTGAAAACCCCCCACCTTTTAAATCTGGCCGTTCTTTATCAGCGTAGCGGTCTGTAATCCTTTCGCTGGTGGATTTCAAGTTTAATCCCTAGTGGACTGAAAGGGAGCTTAATTAGGGTAAGCGTAGCACGTTAATATTGGGAGTTTTGGGGGGTTTGTAGCACAGGGTCTGGCAAGAAGGTGCAGGGCTGGGGGCGCGGTCCAGCCGCCCGCGTTTCTCCTGCCGCGAAGCCCCTTTTGGCGCTGGGCCCTTTTCGGCAGCCCATGCCCCGGCCCGGCTCCTCCCCGCCTTGCAGCGGCTCCTCAGCCCCCGCTCCCGGGGAACCCGCGCGGGGGTGATTCGTTC